AATGGGTCATCAAAATGACCATGGGGTGGAGAGAAGGGGAGCTGAAGCAATTCCTTTGACTTACAATGATTGGGCCTCTTTGGCTGAGAAAGAGGCAAAAAGGGGAGAATTCTGGATAAAGTGGATTGGGCACATCCCTCCCCTTTTCAAAATAATAAAAGCTGTGATTTTCCAGTAAAATAGTGGAGAGAACGCCAGTTTGCTAAAGCCCGTTGTTAAGTCTATGGAATTCACTAGGAGACAGTGGTGGCCACCAATGCCATTGTCTTGCTAGTAGTTAAGGGTCTATTTATCACCTCCAGTGTCAGGGTCAGGATTCCTCTGTTTCCTAGTTGCTGGCAGACTTCTCACATGCTGTTGGCATGGCTTGAGGGGCAAGGGCATCATCCTAGACATTTCAACCACCAAGCTTGAGGCCATCTCAGACAGCTTGATTGGGCCGTGTGATGCACAGCAGCACCATGGCTAAACACAGCACCAGGTGCACATACTTGAAGTCGTCCCCAACTTGGAGATATCATTTGGGAAGGGAAAAGAAGGGCCCTCGGTGCCATGGCGACACCATGCTCTTGCCCTCCAGCCTGTGCTGCTTCCACTATACTCAACCATTTCAGCGGGCCTCTGGAATTGTGTACATATCTCTCCTCCTAGAGATGGTTACCTGGAAAAACTTTGTTACAGCTTCGATTTGGGATTTGAGTGGCATCCATGATGGAATGCATCTGTTCCTAATTTTTGCCCAATTTGACAAGTATGATATTGTTCATTTTATCACGGTATGTTTGCTTATACAGTATATTTAATTGATTTCTATCCCACCTTTCTCTGACTAAAGGAACCCACAGTGGTGTACTCATAATCATGAAACATGTACAAGTGAAATCACAGTACATTGCAACATTAAAATGCAATTAAACATATACCAATATTTAAAAGTCACTTTTTAAAAAAAGTTTAAAGCCACTTTAAAACGTGTCATAAAACGGCAAAGTCTCCTGCATACACCTCCAGGTATTATGACTCCCTTCTCACCAGACCATTCAGTTATCAAAAGCCAACTTGAAAATAAGTTTTTGCCTGCTGGCAGAAGGACAACAAAGTGAAGCCCAGCCTAGACTTGCATGAGGGGTTTCATAGCCTTGGAGCAATGATTTTTTAAAAAATGGCTGGCCCTTGTTTCTCCCTCTGACCTGCCTGTAAAGACAGAAGATCCTTCAAACAGCCTGGATTGAAGGGAATATAGGTCATATAATCAATATCAGGAAACTAAACTCATATTTGAGGACAGCAGAATTCTCAGCTGATTTATTGTTGCTTTTCCTGGTCATGATTATGCTAAATGAGAACTCTCCCATAAAATTCCATCTTTGTCTCTTTCACTTTAAAATAAAATTCATATGCTTGCCATGTGTGTGAAATAAATTTAGCACGGGACTAAGCACTGAAAGACAGAGTGTTTATTTCACCTAGTTCCAAAGAAAAGCAAGTAAGTCCTTGAATGGCACTAATTTGGTCCCCTCAATATAAGGGAAGAGGTGTAAGGATATTTTTAATTTACAGAAAGAGAAGAACACAGGAATACCAGTTGATTACAAGTCTCTAGGCCAGTCTTTCTTCTTCCTATCATCAACCTTAGCCTACAGAAGCTAAAATTAATTCTGTGATTTCCCATAATTTGTGTGCACACGTGCATAAAAGAAGTTGCCATCTTTTGTCATCTGTGTGTAAAAGCATTTCCCTTCTACAAGCAAATCTTTCTTCAATACAAAATAAAGAGAACTTGCTTGTGAACAAAGGAGGGAAAGAGATGAGTTGGTGATAGGCTGAGAAAATCCAGAGAAATTTTGAGAACTGATTTTTTTTTGGCTCAACCATAACCAACTTTTTCAGTTGAGCCTAGAAACTGACCAGCAGCCAGTGAATTTGTTACATGAGCCTTGATTTGAACTGGGTGAAGTTTCCAAACAGTCTTCAGAAGCAACATCACATAGAGTGTTGCACTCTATGTGGCATCCAATCAAGATGTAAGTAAGTAAAGTATTACAGTAACCATATCAGGTACAGTGGTGCCTCGCTTTACAATTGCCCCACATTACGAATCCACTTTATGATGACCTTTTTGCAATCGCAATTGCGATTGCAAAACGATGGTCTAAATGGGGGGATTTCGCTTTGTGATGATTGGTTCCCTGCTTCGGGAGCCGATTCTTTGCAAAACGATGATTTTTCAAGAGCTGATCGGCGGTTTCAAAATGGCCGCTGGGTAAATAAAATGGCTCCCCACTGTGTTTAGGGACAGATTCCTTGCTATACAGGCAGCGAAAATGGCCACTGTATGGAGGATCTTCGCAGGACGGTGAGTTTTAAGCCCATTGGAACGCATTGAACAGTTTCAATGTGTTTCAATGGGCTTTTTATTTTCCCTTTACTATGTTTTCGCTTAACGGCGATTTTTCTGGAATGGATTATCACCGTTAAGCGAGACATCACTGTATTTCCAGGAACTAGTGCCACTGGATCGCTAATTTTAACTGTGTTAAAATTGTGCTAGAATTACCTCCTGATCACTGCTGAGACCAGGCCTTCGACCATCCAGGCTCAGCGCAGAATCCAGGTAGACACCCAAGCTATGAAGCTGAGTTCTCTGGCAGAATCCTTTGCCTGCCTTTCATCTGACCAGGAACACTTCCATCTTGCCAGTTTGTTCACCCTAAAATTGTTAATTTTTTTAAATGAAAAGACTGGCTTGTGAAAGCCATTCATGAGCTTGTGGCAGAAGCAGGGTTTGACCCAAACATTTCCTGACTGCAATCTTAGTTTCCCAGCTGCTATGCAAAACAGGGTCCAAACATTTATACAAAGGGGAAGGCTTATTTATAGGGGAGAATATAGATGGAGAATTAGACAGATGATTCTATCATTGCAAGATGGAAGCAGTTAACACACAAATGAGGGCCTCAGGCATTCAGCCGTCCTTTCAATTCCTGGCTGAGTTCATGGCTCTGGGTTAACTGGAAGCTGATGGTGTGGATGTGGTCCTTGACACTTTGGGACCAACCATTCATCTGATATGTGTGAAGCTGAACACGTATTAGGAGGTGCTTCCAGATCACTTCCACCACCTTGGTAACAGCTTTGGATGGGGACGACACATCAGTAACCACCGTCAGGTGGCCTTTGCAACACTTTCGTTAATGACATTCGAAATGTTGTTGCACTTTCCACCTGGAATTCTAATTTGTAGTTTGCAGGGCATTTTAAACAAAGATTTCCATGCTGGAAAAGGTGACAATTGACTGTCTGTTTCTGGGGTCTCTTCCCCCACTAAAACAATCCTTCCTTCCATTGTAAGGCCATAGGAATTCGCCAGACCTTCTAATGACTACTAGTGTTGTTTATTCCAAAACAGTATGGCTTTTCCATTTATAATTCAAAAACCAGAGGGCAGAACGCTCCTGCTGTACAAAGCTGCTTGACAGTGAGCCAGATGCACAGGGCGAAATTCAAGTAATTCTGTCCCAAGGAAAACCACTGAAGCAGGAGGGATGGGGAAAGAGAAATGTAAGATAGTTCTGCAAGTTGACCAAAGCTTGTTTGGCCATCCCAAGCATTTTAGCTTATACATTTGTGAAGTCTAGCCCTCAAGGTCGCAGCAATCTCCTGTACAATAATGCAACAAAACTTTCAAGAGAAACAACGAAGAGACACAAAAGGTTAATAATGTGACTTCAGTGTTTCCGTAAGTGATTTCAAGTCTTCAAAGGACAGTACATATTTTTTTTCTTTTTGTTATCCTCATGTTGAGGAAATGGCACATGTCCTGCTTAGTGAATTCTAGCAAAACTGACAAATAAATAAAAATAAAAGTAAATAAATAAAGAGGCCAGAATTCTGTAAGGATTGTGCCATGCAAATGGGCAAGAGAGCTAGCAATCCTCCCTGGGAAGCTGACCCCCAGTCGTGCAAATGATTGCAGCCCCAGCAGTACAATCCATGGAGGGAGAGAGAAAAGAGTGGGGAAACTGCCCTTATGCACAGTTTTCTTCCAGAGGATTTTGGCAAGAATTTCTGAACCTGTAGATCAGTTACTTGCCCACTTCACCAGCTCCTCCAATTTTTTTTAATGAAATGTAAGCCTCTCCAACAAGTCTAACCCTTTTAACAGTACAAAGCTAACCAGAACAGTTCAGTGGGAAAATGTGCCACATAAAGAGGATGGCCTTTGCCCTGGCTGCAGTTTCTCAGCCTTGCACTGTGAGTGAATGTGGAAGGCTGGTACTGACAGGTCAGACTGAATTGGGTGGGCTTTGTTGCCCCCCCTGCCCCTGTACTGCAAAAAAGCTGAGAAATCTCCATGGACTTCATTTGTACAAAAGCAAAACCCGCTCTGGGCTTCTGGAACTTCAGCACACAGAGAGAAATAGAAATATATTGCTCAACTGTATTCGAAAACCTTTGTCGGGAAAAATTCTCTGAGGAAAAATCAAATACTTCTGCCAATAGATACAATATCTTCATGGTTCAGATGTGAGGGAAAATGCCAAGGGTGTGGTAGAAAAATAACAGAGTCATCTTGAGGGCACATAAAATCTACAAAAGCCATAATGACAAGTTGGTAATCAAATCAGAATCAAGATTGACAGCAACAGAGATGCCAAGGCACTCGCTCGAGTAGCTTCCGGGAGCAGGCAGGCTGTGCAGACTTGAGTATGGATGGTTAGAAGAAGCCGTGTGGAATATTTACATAAACCTATTTACGAAATAAATAATGATCAGATCAACCTGCTACCTGAAAGGAAGAAAGCCTCTGAGCAGCCAGGTCAGGGCAAGCAGTTCATGGAGACCTTTGGGCTGAGGCTCAAACACTGTCAAAGCCCCCCAAACATGGGGCCTCTCCGGCTCGCTTTGATCCAAGGTACTAACAAGCACTGGCGCTTCTTATGCAAAAGGAACGCCCATCCTGTACTCGTCTCCTTTAATAAATCACTGCAAGGCACACCTGCTGTTTCAATAGCTTTATTTTGTTAAAATATCCCCAGCTCCACCAAAGATTGATCAAGCCAGCACACCAGGCAGAGTCTAACCTCCTAGAGAGGATATGGCTCCTTGGGGAGGGAGGGCACTGACACAAAGAACGTCTCCCAGGGGTCAGTACGCATGCAAGCATCCGGATGCATCCGTCGTGGCACGAGGCACACAGCTAGCGAACTGAACGGCTGGGAGGACACAACCCGTTTTGTTCCCTGCACAGGGAATAAACCTACGACAGCCCTAGGCAGGCTTCTCAGCTTCAACTTGCCAAGGCTCAAAGGATGGGGAGGGGGAGGGTGGGGCAGAGCAGGCAGCCGTGGGGGATACATATGGCAACACACAACCAGAGCCACCCATGTATCCCCCACGGGTGCCTGCTCTGCCCCACCCTGGACGTCCAAGCGTTCCACACAGTCCTGGTGAGTTCAGGGGGGTGCATTTAGAATCCCTCTGCAGACCTCTGTGTCCAGTGCATGAAGATCAGGAGGGGGCATGTGGGGATCCTGAGATGGCAACAGTGTATGGGAACTCTCTACAGATGCTGAGGAGGGCTGAAATCCAGTACTAAGTCACAGTTAGAGTAGGACCACTGGAATCAGTGGAACTTACAGAGGGGCTGATTCACCAAATCTCCATTGATCTGATGGGTCTACCACAGTTGCAACTGACTGCTGGATATTCACCACCCTTGCCCCAAAGCAGCAACCTTCCGACTGCGAGAGGAACTGTAGCCGCCACACAGACGGCACCAGAAGGGCCCCTGGAGCAAAAACACAATGGTCTGTGCTGTAGATTCTGCTACCGGCAGCTGGACTCCTCCTTGGATTTCGTCCTGCAGTATCCAAATGCAACCCTTAAGCCTGAAACAGATTTTATACTGTGCACACAACCCAATCAGCCTGCAGAAACGGAGGCTACATATCCCACATGCTAAACTTATTTAGTTCCCATAAGTTTTAAATGTTTTTCACTCACAATGCTCTTTCCCATTTTTCTCCACAGCAAACATCAAGCTAGCTGAAAATGTTTTTAGATTGTCAGGCAGTGATTAGAGCGAGGAATCCTGGTGGCTGCATAAGCAGACGATTGTAATGAATGGGGGCCAAGTTTCATCCTTTTGGGCCACAAGAGGGCACTCTGGGCCCCTTTGTGGCTAAGCAAAAAGTTGCAGTATCATTGCTATGTTAGGTAAGCCAGACAATATCTAGTAATTTGTCATTTGGGCAAGTGTCCATTCTGTGTGAAAAGCAGAACCATGTTGAGAGATATTTTCCTTCCAGTTGACATATATGATGCCTAGTCTTCTGATTCTCAGCCTTTTCCGACCGAACAGCTAAACTGCAGTGGCACAAAATATGTACACATGTTGCACAAATCATCTGTCGATGAGAGAAAGACAAGTGTTAAGCATTATACTAACATCTTATGTTAATGTCTATTTACATGGAAGGAAGAACAAGAAGTTTTTAGATCTGATTGTGTATTCCTTTCTTGTTAGTAGCCATAAAACAAGTGAATCGGCTGACATCAGCCCCTGCAGGTAGTTAGGAACAGTTATTTCACAGCAAAGGAAGGCTTTTGCTCAACCTCAGATCCTTAAAAAAATAAAGATAAGAAAGCAGTCTTGCCAGGACAGGGCATGCAAGATTTGTGAGTCTCAACATCTGTCCCAAGAGCACCACGTGGACATTTAACAGCCACTCTGGACAGAGGTTTTGTTAAGAGTCATGTCAAATCAATGAGAAGGCAGAGAAAGTGGTCCACAATTATCTATACAAATCAATCAGTCTCTGAGTAAAATGTGAAGAGCAGCAGTGAAATCTTTAAGCTGTTGTCCTACAGAAGCTACACTGACGTAGAGGCAGACCGCTAATATTTACCTTATCTTGTTCAGGAACTTTTTTTTTTGAAGATAAACACCTATTATCTTATTTCCTTATCAGTTTGCACAATGGCAGAATTAATCGGATTAAGGTACTTAGAATAAAGAAAAGGGACCCAGAATAATTTGGGGCTCTTATCTAATATCTGCTTCGTCACTTCAACTACATGATCATGCAAAAAAGTATAAGGAATTTAGAATTTCTATGCCATGGGTGGCTGTAAACTGATACAGTACATTCCTGTGGCTGGTTTTTAGAACCACAGCAATAACAGGAGCGTATCAACAATCCCATATAGAAGCAGCTATTCAGAAACGACCCAGGGCATGAAGTGATCACACCCATACGATGTCACGTTATGGCCTTTCATGTGAAGTGGGTTTGTGACTGACATTTTGGAGTGTGAAGTGGATGAGGGTACTTTTCATATCAGTTGCACTGGAAAGGTAGGGCTGACTGTATAGTGAGGTATAAAGAATATCTTAGAACCAAAGGACAATATACATATATGGAATTTAAACTGCAGTGTTCTGAAGGGCAAACTTTTTGTAGTATAATGCTCTATAATTTATCCTAATTCCTCAGCAAAGGGTGGATTATAAATCTAAATAAGTAACACACTCCCTTTTAAGATATTTGGGGGTAGCAGAACATTGGGCCATAGTCATTGGCATCAATGGCACTTACAGAAGAAGCTGACTGGATAGTTGAGTCAGTTAGGTTTCTGGCTGCAGAGCCAGAGGCTGGGAATTCAGTCCCTGCTTGGATTCCCAGAAGAGCCAATATGGTTGGCCTTGGGCATGCTACATAGTCCCAGGATGTACCTCAGAAGAAGGAAACAATAAACCACCCCTGAGTACTCTCTACCTAGAACATTCTGGAAAAGCTCACCGTAAGTCAGACTTGACTTGACAATACATAATTATTATAAACTCACCAAATCCCCACTGATTCAATGGGACTACTCTAGTGAGATTTACTGTGGTAACCAACAGGATTTCAACTAATACATCGATTGTTTTCAAAATTCTTGGAATTGGGGAGCTGGAAACCACAATAGGCACTTCCTGTTCCTAAGAACAGCTGTTTTTAACTAAATTAGGTTGAGGGAGGCTTCAACAACATTTAAATTACAAATTGTGACTCCCCTACATCAGTTTTTGCCATTTTTCTAATCATTTTTTTTTTCAAGATAGGAGGGTGGAGGAGTGTGTGTGCAGCCCCCCCCCAAGGTCTGGGGGAGAGCAGGAGCAGCCCCTGGAGCCCCAGAGGTTGCCCAACAGTATATGAAATCATGCCATATTTACCAGGAAGTAGTGCCACTATAAATTCAAATTGCAAACAATAAGTGACAGAGGTATTATCGTAACAAATAACTTTACAGCATTATGTAACCGAACAATGTAGTATGGAAGAGTCGTACGAAGTACTGCTTCTGTTTTCATTAGATCACTCATTTTGGCAGGACGGGATGTGTGTGTGAACCTAACACCAAGAAAAGAAACTGTCCTCCAGAACATCGTACTAGATCTTACTATTGTTCATGAAGTAAAAAGTTTTTGATGGAAACTGGGACTGGAAGAGTTTGTATCAGCTGCAGACGGTGTTTCCCGAGTACCTTCCGTACTGCTACCCGGCACAAAGACATCAAGCTTCTAGGGCAGCCTGCGATTAAACAAGAAACAGATCAAAAGAGAGCAGAAGACGTGACTTAGTATTGCAGTAAATGTCCCCTGTTCATTTAAGTTGTTTATTTTGCCAAGATAGTACTTTTAAAGATGATAAATTCTCTGACGGCATGAAAGGATGTTGGACTGTTCTGTTCCAACATGGTGTTCCACCACCATAAAGAGTACCATGTTTCATTCGATGCATCTGATGGACAGAGTGAGCTGGAGTGCACAAAACCACAAAGTGAATAAAACCTGCTAGTCTTTAAGGTGACACAATGCTTTTGGATCACTTGCTCCTAAAGGACAGCCTGGTCTTATAAATGTTTAAAAACTAAGTCACACAGAGCACATAAGAGCACTACTGTGAAACTACACATAGCACTGCAGCCTCTGCATAGCTCCTCATGAGTAATTAGATCTAGTTCTAGTGACACAATAAACTATTTCACAAAATAAACAGCTGACCCATTGTGGTGCCGAGGAGAAGGCATATATTTTTCCAAGAAAGAAGCGAGCAGGTAAAAGTGTCTCAGAGTTCCAGCGCCTCTACTGCTTCCTCAGATCAAGGCATGAACGGCAGGAAAGATACACTTAAAAAAATATTTCAGCCTGGTACAATTAGTTGTGTGAGTTCCTGGTCTATTTTCAACTGGACCTATCTCACAAGAAGTGGAAATGTGGGAGGTTTCGTTGGAAAATCAATTTTATATTTCAGTAAAACCATTTTCAGTTGCTTTCTCATGGACAAATGAGTCTCTGATGGTTACTAAGTCACTGAAAACACTGGAGAGAAAGGAATAAACTTAAGTTTAGTCCAATTAAGACACATTGTGCATAACTTGAGAGAGAGGAATTAAACTCCCAACCTCTGGCTCCGCAGACCTAAACCACAGAGCTATCCAGAATGGATACCCACAATTACTCTGTTTTGAAGCATCTGCACAACTTGCCTGTTTTGTTTCCAGGTCCAATTCAAACTGCTGCTTCTTAGTTTTAAGAATCTCAATAGATTCCTTTTAGAATGTGGCTGTTGTATTTACACTTTACACGTAAGATGAAACTGTGCAAGTGGCTGTGAAATTTGAGCTAAGGGGGAAGTCAAATCCAGCAAGCAGTTCTATCAGTGTGATATGCAGTGGGTTGCACAAACCACCAAGCAATCCACTGCGCAATCAGGCATGCAAAATGAACTGTCTGGACATAACGGGGCATGACTTCCTTTGTATCGTACCTTTACGCTATGTCAAATAAATGAGGATTTCAGTTCATATAGAATACTGTATACATGATTTTATTATTATGTCAAATGGTACTGGGAGCTTTTAGTAGAAATTCTTATCATTTATTACTGTGAAATTCTGATTAAGCCAAGGAACCTTTCCTCCTGTATGACTCCCCCTCTTAAAATCTTGGGATGGGGCCATGCTCTGTATGATGAGGTTAGATTGGCCTCTGCTAGGAGAAGGGCCTTCTCTTTAAGGTAACCAATGTGCTAGAAATCTTGTAACACTGATCTAAAAAATGTTTTGTGAAGCTTCCTCCCTTCCACCTTTCTGCAAATGGGAAAAAAAATTAGTTTGAACTGATCTTTTGAAGCACAAAAATAATTCACACAACAACAATATTATGATAAGACTTAATTTCTAATTCATTCTCCACTTAAATATTTGAAAATATTGTTTTGAATTTTTATCATTTAAAAGAATTGGAAAACTTTAATCACGAGATAACCCTTATCTGCAAAATGCAGTTCACAAAGAACTCCTTTTACAGGATTAAAAACTGAACACTGATTTCAATCTTTATGAATAATAAACACTCACTCTTGGCTTCTCTGAAAAGCCGCATGGCTTCGGGGTTCACTCTGATTCTTCCTGTAGCTTCTTCAGCCAGAGTCTCCCACTTCACAAGATTCAGGTTAGCTCCAAAGTCAATCAGGAGGCAAACGAAGGCTGCATCACAGCCATGTCGCAAGACTGCGTCCATCACACACACTGCTGAGCCCCTGGAGAAGCCCTGGACGTTCACGGGGCCACAGAAGTTGAAATCAGGATTGGCTCCTGCTTGCAGAAGCAGCCTGAAGCATGGCAGGTTATGATAGGCAGCGCTGATATACAAGGGGCAGACCACTAGGGATGTGAGCGGCCTGGAAGATGGGTTAGGGATCCCAGAGGCCAAGTGGGGGTTCACATCAACGTCAGCTCCATACCTGAGGAGAGAACAGGTATTCATTTTGGAAGATTGTTTTGTGGAAGGGGGTGAGGGTTGCTTGGCAGCCACAAAATCCAATTCTCAGGCCCCAGTCGCTTGAACAATGGCAAATGTTGAATCTAACCCTGTACAAAGGAGAGGCTGTGATTGTGCGTGGCTTGCGTGGCTAAGAACAGCAGTTACAGAATAGCTGCCTTGAGTCCTTCACCAGGAGGAAGGCCACATAAACATGACACGAAATAAATGAAACAGAATAAATAGATAAACAAATGTGTCCCCATGGTAGCCAGTGCAATCTGCTTTGCAGGGTTTTGCATGCTGTGATCCTAATCCCAGAGGAACAGAAATAAACACTTCCAAATTCTGGTAGATCACCTTCCGAACTTTAGCTCACATTAGCTGTGCAACACCAGTCCAGGAAATGCTTCATCGGGGCCAGTCTGGCCATATTCTCCGTGCTCGTTTTACACATCACACCTGCCTTAGATTTGATGCAAGATTCAGGCTATAAATAAGGGATGCACAGCCCCGTAAGAATTTTAAACATGCTTATCTTCTCCACCGCCAGATTTTTCTTCACTTGCTACAGTGGCTCCCGGTGCCTTCTCGAGAAGTTCAGTGCTTTCTTTAGGACACAAAGTATCTTGCGCTCTTGCCTTTTCCTGTACACTGCACTGTCCTCTCCACTAACAAGGGTGAGTCTACTATTAGTTGCTAGGAAGGTAAAAGAAATTGCTTTGAAACAAACTCTTTCTCTTCAGCTTTATAAAGAAAAGGGATTGTTTACATCTTGGAAGACGTCAAAGAGGCAGAGAGAAATTCCTTTTCACTGGAAAGGAATTTTTACATGCAAAAATAGATATACACACACATGGAATATAGACACGTGCTTGCACACAAGCACACATATCAACAAAAAATAAAATGGGTGCAGGGGCCAGTTGGTATTGTGACGTAAGACATGCAGTTGTGTCTTCAGTGGAGACAGCAGCTTGCCTTTCACTATCTCAATATTTAAGGAAGGCAGCAGATATTGCTTTGAAACCACCCAGGTGCTTTCTTCCTTTACTAGAAAAACTGATAACCAAGTGCAAATGCAAAAAGACAAAAGCATGCACAGGTGTCCCTCAAAGGTTTGCTGAATGCCATGCAAGTATGACAAGCGATGGTACAAATGACTCTCAGACAACAAGTCCAGACCCAAGTTCATCTACCTGCACTGAATAACCATCCCTCTGGCAACAAAAGCTTGGGATGATAACCTTTGGCACAGCAGAACCCCCAAAGAGTGAAAAAGGAACAGGCGAGTACCATTTCTTGCTCACCCCTCAAAGAGCCCAGGAGTGTTCCAGAGCTACTATTCCAGCAAGAGGGGCTGTTACCCCCCCCCAAAGAATCCAGCCATCATTGATGACTTATCCTAAACAATAATTCTTGTATCCAGTTTGTGGTTTTTAGAGGTTTGTCCGGGGGGGTTGGGGAGAAGCCAATGGAGAACGGAGACAGTGAAACAGCAGATAGGATAAGCTTGAAGCAAATGTGGCAGGAGACTGCAAATGAAGTGCTCCCTGAGAATTACTGAAAGCTCTTCCCTAAGTGGAGAAAGGGCAGAAACACACAAAAAAGCACTAGTCTGACATGTAGAAATTCTGCATAGAGGAAACAGGCCTTGCACCCGCAACACTTGTTGCCGTTGCAACGTTTGCACTGTCAAAGCTTAAAGAACTAAGCAAACCAAAAAGGTTCAGCAGTGAGAGTGATCCAGCCCACATACGCCAGAAGCAGAGCACTTGGCTTTGCTGTGTCCAGAAACGGGATCCTTTTCTCTTCAAAAGATTTTAAGATGTCCCTACAGAGTAATTACATGAAGCACACATAACTATGTCATCCCATCCAAAAATGAGGATTTTCTGCTTTCCTAATTACACGTTTCCATTTCCCTCCCCTCCTGCACACTCCCAGTTAATATGTAATGGGTAATGCGCTGCTCCAGACTGCTAGTTGAGCCTGTAGGACATGCTACTCCTTCCAGAGCTGGAAAATAGCACCGTCGAGGCGCACAAATATTTCCCTTCATCAATATGCTTGCATGCAACAGGTACATTCAGAGTAATCCTCCCAGCATCCAGATCCATGACAGGAGTGTGCACAGCAATTCTGAAAAGAGCTCATCAAGCTAATATGCTGAATAAGAAACGTAAGAGGAAATAAGTCTACTTCTCTTTAGTGTCTGGTCTGGTGCCACATCTGCATTGGCCCTTTGTGCAAAGAAGAAAGAGAGGGTTCTTGCCAGGAGTGGCTGTGTGGCCTACAGGAAGGGGTAGGGGTGCCAGCTGCCTTGGATCTCCCCTTACCATTTTCCTCAGATTCAAGCCACATGGCACTGCGTTATATTATATTATGGCTGAGGCAATTTGCTGGGCAGTGGCCCCAAGTGCTGCTTGGCCTCTGCTGCATTTGGTGGAAAAAAGAAGCACAGGCAGAGGAGGTATACTGAGGACTGGTGCCAATGATCTAAGAGTCATGAGACTTTAAGTTCCAGTGGAACCAATATATGCGTTACAGCAAAGGTTGAAGGAGAAGAGGCGAAAACGTAGGTTGATCACGCCAGGATGCCAGAAGGAAATGATTCCGCTAGAAGGGGAACCACAAAGGTGCACTGGAAGAATGCTTTATGTTGTCTTGTCTTGTCTCTGAAAACCCACTATAAGTCAGCCACAGTAGCCCAACTGTGGAATGAAAATAACGCTGATGTAAGAAACTGTGAGGAGAGAAGACACCAGGGAATGCAGTTTCTGGTCTTCAGTTTTAGAGATAAGGCAAGATGTTGTTTAAAAAGCTATCAGAATGGTTAGGTCCAATTTAGCTGGAAATGCAGCTATTTTGTGCACCATGTTGATTAATGGCATAATTTAATTTTAAGTTTTCTACAAAGCAATTTAAACTCATTAATAACTGCATTTCAGCATGACAGTCTGCTATTAGCATAGCCATCCTGAGAGAGACATTCTACAACCAGAAGATATTGGCTCTGTTTCAGTTAATTTTAAATCTGAAAGTCTTCCAAAGTCTGTATTTTAATGCTGTTGGCCAAGTGTCCTTGCTAGCAGATGTATAAATCTGCACATCATTACTTTAGACCAAATGGCCTGTTTTTACAGGAGAACCCTCACACAGGTCATAGTGGCTTCCTGCAGTGCATATTTACCCCGCAAGAATGCCAAAGGCGGGCACAAGAATCAAATCAGCAGATCAAACATGAAACCCCTTGAATATCACTTCCTTGCTTCAGGCAGCATTCTCTCTTGATGACTTAGGGCCAAACTGGATGAGATAGTGGAATAATAATGTGGATTGTGTCAGGCCTCTATATAGTCCAGGACAGGTGGCATAGAAGAAAGGGGATTTAAATGAAATAAGAATGTATAGGAAGCACTGCCTACATATCGTCATGGAGAAAAGAAAGTACACCCTCTTTGAATTACTGTATATAGCTTTATGTATTGGGACATAATAAAAATCATCTGGTCCTTAGAAGGTTTGCAAATTAGGTAAATACAATCTCAGATGAACAACAATACGTGACATTACACCATGTCATGATTTATTTTACAAAAATAAAGCCAAAATGGAGAAACTATGTGTGAACAATTAAGTACACCTTTAAATCTTCCATAGGAAGCCAGGTGCTGCTAACCAAATGTCCTTGAGTAACTGATCATCAGCAAGTGTGACCATCTCTATAAAAGCTGAAGTTTTAGCAGTTTGCTGGTCTGAAACATTAAAGTGTGTGTTACCACAATGCCAAGGAGGAAAACATCAGCAGTGATCACAGAGAAGTAATTGTTGCTGCCCATCCATCTGTGAAGGATTTGGAGGCTACAGTGGTGGCTTGCTTTACGATCGCTCCGTTTAACGATGAAACTGCGTTATGATAAACTTTTTGTGATCGCTTTTGCAATCGCTTTACAATGTTTCCTATGGGGGAATTTCGCTTTGTGATGATCGGTTCCCTGCTTCGGGAACCGATTCTTCGCAAAACGACGATTTTCGGACAGCTGATCGGCAGTTTCAAAATGGCCACTGGGTAAACAAAATGGCCCCTGCTGTTTTCTGGGATGGATTCCTCACTGCACAGGCAGCGAAAATGGCTGCCCTATGGAGGATCTTCGCTGGACGGTGAGTTTCCAGCCCATCGGAATGCATTAAATGGGTTTTGATGCATTTCTATGGGCTTTTTGATTTCGCTTTACGACGTTTTCGTTCTACAGCGATTTCACTGGAATGAATTGTCGTAATGCGAGGCACCACTGTATTTCCAAACAATTTAAAGTCCATCATTCTACAGTGTGGAAGATTACTGACAAGGTGGAAACACTTAAGACAGTTGTCAATCTTCCCAAGAGTGGACGTCCAAGCAAATTCACCCCAAGGTCAGACTGGAATGCTTAGAGAAAGTGCAAAAACCCCAACAGTTACATCTCAGACTCTACAGGGTTCAGTTAGCATGTGAAATGTTAAAGTCCATGACAGTACAATTAGAAAAAGACTGAACTAGGATGGTTTGCTTGGAATGGTTGCCAGGAGAAAACCTCTTCTCTCCAAAAAGGACATGGCCGCATGGCTTAGGTTTGCAAAGTTGTACCTGGACAAACCACAAGACTTCTGGAACAATGTCCTTTGGACAGGTGAGACCAAACTGGAGATGTTTGGCCATAATGCACAGTATTATGGTGAAAACCAAACATTAACATAAACAACTCAAACCAACTGTGAAGCACAATAGTGGTGGGGTGATGATTTCGCTTGTTTTGCAGTTATTGAGTCAACCATGAGTATATCAAAGTATTTTAAATTCAAATGTGAGACCATCTGTCTGACAGCGAAAGCTTGGCTGAAATTGGGTCATGCAACAGGACAATGATCCCAAGCACATCAGCAAATCTACAACAGAATGGTTGAAAAAGGAAAGAATCAAGATGTGGCAATGGCCCAGTAAAAAGCTCGATTGTAATGCTGTGGTGTGACCATAAGAGAGCTCTGCACAAACAGATGCCCACAAATCTCAATGGACCAAAGCAATGTTGTAAAGAAGAGTGAGGCAAAATTCCTCCACAACAATGTGAGAGACTGATAAAGTCATACAGAAAACTATTACTTCAAGTTATTGCTGCTAAAAGTGGTTCTACAAGCTAATGAATCATAAGATGTACTTGGTTTTTCACACATGGCTTCTCCATTTTAGCTTTATTTTTGTAAAATAAATCATGACATGGTGTAAATATGTCATGTGTTGTTGCTCATCTGAGGTTGAATTTACCTAATTTTCAGACCTCCTAAGGACCAGATGATTTTTATTATGTCCTGATGTGTAAAACCATAGAATTCTAAGAGGGTGTACTTTCCATTTCACATGACTGTATTATGAGAATTGGCCTTTCCCCTGCTGTTTCTCTCCCAGTAAGTAGGATTATGAGACCAAGGAGAGTTGTTCAAATGCTAGTCACTCAATGTCCAAGCTGGACCACATCTCACACAATCATTCTGGTGAGCCCCCACCAAATCAGACCACAGACTGCCCCTGATTTCCAAAAGAAAAAAATAAATATCTGGGGAAGGAATTTCAGGAAACAGCATTACTAGTTGCCCCAATGCACTTATACTACTCCATCTTGGTTTTATTGCCAGTCTGCATCTTGTGTACAGATCTGCTACTATCATGCTTCATTTGGTTCTCCAAAGTGTGAAAGCAACTAGGAGCCACTTTAATGTGATGTCCTTTAGATGTCAAGCTTTACAGGTAAAGATTTGCAGATTTGTCAATTATGTACTGTATATGAAGAGGAAGAGGAGGAAGAATTGGAAAAACCAACAAAATACAGAGACCCGGCAATTGAAACATTTCACTTGTGGATGAAACACACTTCAGTGGTCCACATAGTCATTGGGGCTTTGGGAACAACATCAAGAAGTTTCATACAGTATTATAAGCAGTTGCAGATTTCAGAAATAACATTATCAGAACTAGAAAAACCAGCAATATTAGGAACAGCATATATACTACAGTGGTGCCTCGCTTAACGGCGGTAATCCGTTCCAGGAAAATCACTGTTAGGTGAAAACATCGTAAAGCGAAAAAAAACCCATTGAAACGCATTGAAACCCCTTCAATGTGTTCCAATGGGGTCAAAACTCACCGTCCAGCGAAGATCCTCCATAGGGCAGCCATTTTCACTGCCTGTCTTGCGAGGAATCCATCCCAGAAAACAGTGGGGAGCCATTTTGTTTACCCAGCAGCCATTTTGAAACTGCAGATCAGCTGTTTTAAAATCATCGTTTTGTGAAGAATCGGTTCCCGAAGCAGGGAACCGATCATCGCAAAGTGAAAAAACCCTATTTAGACTATCATTTTGCGATCGCAATTGTGATCGCAAAAAGATCATCGTAATGCAGTTTCGTCGTAATGTGGGGCAATCGTAAAGCGAGGCACAACTGTATGTCAGTATTTAACTGATACTTGGGTTTTTGGTTAAAACTAGTGTCTGCTATATAATACAAGTCAATGTTTTATAATTTTGATTGACTGTGCCTGGAATTTTTCAATAATAATAATAATAATAGTTAAAGACAAATAGATATAATGAGATATGGGGTGAATTTATAAATGCTGTGTTGAATAAAGGGAAAAGTTGAACCATTATTATATGTATTTTTGGAAGGGATATGGGGACAGTTGAATGAAGGATTGATGGCCATGTAAAAGGAGGTTAAAATTTAAGTAATATACTGTATATTGGTCCCCAAGGTGAAGCAAGCACTGAGTTTTGTGTTATTATTAATTTTTGTATGTAATTTGTGCAGATAGAATGCACTTTTATTTTATATTTTATTCATATGTTTAGTTAAAAAATTAAAATAATAAGAATAATTGATATTTAACAGACACTTAGATTTTGTATCTGTTGTATAATACTAGTCACTGTTTTTATAATTTTGATTGACTGTGCCTGGTTTTTTTTAACAACAACAACAACAATAATAAATGCCAACAAGTTGATTCTAACTTGTGGTGAGCCTTGCCAGGGTCTTCTAAGTATCAAGTACTCAGAAGTGGCTGACTATTCCTTTCTTCTGGGGGTGCCCAAGGACTGTGCAGTTTCCCCCAGGCCATGCAGGCTGGCTCTTTTCCCAGTGGAGAATCAAACTTCCAAATTCTGGCTCCCCAGCCAGGTGCCCATCTCACTTATACTTTTATTCTGAAACCACAGTAGCAGGGGCTTTGCAGTTAAGACTTGTTCATACTTGTTACTCACATCTGGTACAAAACTTAGCCGTCTTGCTTCGTGATGTCCTGTGTCAAGATATTCTGTGCTCCACTGAGCCAATTTCACAGAAATCAGTGAAACACTTTCACGTCTCACTTATTTCAGTGAGAGACTGCTTAAATTTCTCTCATTTAATTAATTCTGCCTTCTGTATAAACCCAATTCCAAGCTCAGTTCTTCATAGGAGGCTTGTGTCCTACTGTGAACTGAAGTATAATGAATGGATGGTGGGCAGCACAAGGTGGTCCCCATTTTGCGGTGGGCTTCTGGAGGGCCTGGAATGCCTGCCAGGTTCCTCTCTGCCTGCTTCCACAGATGGTCATTCCAGTGCACCCTTTTTTCTTTTTCTTTTTGGTGAGGGGGGCATAGGCAGTAACTAATTATGCCTGTTTACCAAGGTTTGCTTTTGATTCTGCTGAAGTTTCTCCTGATTTTTGCTAACTGGGGTTCCATTTATAATGGTGGACCTATTTTTATCTGTTGTAAAATTTTCAGAGTGATTTGTTGTTATCTGTCTTGAGAATGTGTGTAATGGTTGAAATAAGGCTGGATGTAAGGTGAATATATTTCCATAAATAATGATAAAATGGGACTTTAAAATGCTAAGGAGCAGATGTGAACTTTTGGGTTACGTCGTTCATGGCTTGATATTGCATTCAGTGATAAAGGTGAGAGGGAATAAAAGTGAGTACTTTTAGGTGTTGTGAAGAAACAAATGAAGGACATATGCAATTCTGTCACTTTAAAATAGGAATTCTGAAGTCTTTCCACTTGGTGTCCTCTATTTTCTTTGGACCCTTTCCCACTTTACCCTCTCCTTCCACCCTGCTAACTGGTGCCTGTTGTAACTGGCAGATTGGGAATCATTTCTGTAGCAAAGATACACCTGACGGGTTATTCGCTCGAAAGCGAACATGAAGTGAAATTAATTTGTACTTACTGGATCAATTCTCTGAGGATGTCAGCCCTGCCCACACGGGCAGCATGATACACTGGGGTGCTGCGGTGGTGACGGCTCCCGTTGGGATCTGCACCAGCTTCCAAAAGTATCCGAGCACACTCCAGGTGCCCGTTCACCACAGCTACATACAAGGCTGTTTGTCCTTTTACATCAACAAGGTCGATCTCTGCGCCTTTCCGAATCAGGAATTCCACACAGTTTCCATGCCCTGCTGTAGCAGCAATTCGCAAGGGCGTACAAGGCAGCCAGCCACAACACCACACAGATTTCTCATTGATGCGGCTGAAGAAAGGCAAAAATATAATGTGACTTCAGTCATCCATGAATACCCTCGAATCTTACCTTGCATTAGCTTTGTGAACCTGCAGCTCTTCTGAAAAAAACAACATGTGGCAAAAATGAAAGAGAAGGTGCAGCTTTTCTGTCCCTGGATGCTGAAGGTATGCATTCTCCATGGGTGCCTGCCACACTCTCCGCACTGACATTGCACCAGAGGAAGCATGTGAAGAAAACATGGGCAAGCCAGGTATCAGGCAAAAGCCAATGTTGTACCGAACCTCAAGTCACATAGCGCTACACTATTTGGTGAGACTTCATCACCATCCTCAGGATGGACAGGTGGATGACCACTACAAGTTGTGCTTTGCTGGGCTCAAACGTGACACACGAGTATGCCCATGTAGTGCTCTTAGATTAATTTAGGAGAGATGCCATTATAGAATGTACACATCTTCTGTGGGACCTATATGCAATCCTAAAATACATCTGAATGGCTGAATTCCACATCCAATTAGCACAAAAGGCCTAGGATTAATCACAGCTCCACCAAAAAGGAAGAGTACCAATGACATGTATGTAGAGAACATGCAAATAGAACCCTAAATGCATCAAGGACATGATTCTGATCTCTTTCCCCACCTCCACATTCTGTTTCTACACAGGGCTAAACAGTATGGATAATCCAAATCTGAACATCTGTGTTTAGCTACAAGAGGATGAAAACCGACCTCTGGAAGCTCTCTTCCTGTAACAGGCTTCTAAGAGTCTGCAGGTCCCCCACATAAGCAGCATCGTGCAGCCTGGTGTCTTCACAGTGCTCAAGGGGATGGTCACAGAACTGCTCCTTCAACCACTCCTTCAAATTGCGACCTGTGCTGAAGAGATGGTGGCTGTTGTTAGACCACAAACCTTTGTCCTGACCATCAGGTACCTATTATTACCAGAGGAAGAACTGATGGAAGAGAATGAGGCAATACATTCCAGGTTACTTGAGTCAGAGACTCTAGGTGGCCTGAGGAGGTATCAATAAATTTCTGTACAGATGATGAATTTTCTATAGAGACTTGAAGATATGCCACTGCTAAATTATGCTCATTTTCTTTTATCACAGAATGGTCTTGTTTTAAACCGGCTGTATAGATTTGGCTATATGATCTAAACCTATTTTATCATAATAGGACATAGTGCTTCCCGGTCTGTACACACACTGTCAGATGTTATTAGATTTACAATATGATTTCTCATTCTTAATTGAAATTACAGGTTCCCCTTGGCTTCAATAGGGATTTGGTCCCCACCTGCCCCCAATTTTGGGGTGAAGCACCCCCCGCCAGCTTGAATCATAAATTACCTCAACTAAAAAGTATAAATGATCTGGAATATTATGAATTAAAGAATACATTTATTATTTTGGTGTGCATCTTTATTGATTTTCAACTGGGAAAGCAAATAAAATGAAAAAAATAAGTAAATAATGATAAAGATAGAGAGTCATAGCCCAAAAAGGCAATATAAAATATACAATTTTAAAAACATACAAACAGGGGTCAGCACTGAATTAAATAAACAGACATGTATTTTAAGTAAATGAAATAGGAATTCAGGATCTACTTAAAATCAGGGGGAACACAGCTATGATATCACAGGGAATTCCACAAACAAGGAGCAACCGAAAAAAGGGGCTGACATCTCTGCCCAAGAGTCTAACGGACCTTTGCGGGTGGATCTCTGAACATGTCCTCAGTGGCTCAGGTTCACAAAAATTCAGACTGTTCTTCAACTATCTGGATCCAAAACTGTTCAGGACTTTAAGGTCAGCAACAGCATCTTAAACTGGACCCACCAAACTAGAATTGTATTTGTAACTTTACAACAGAAAAAAAACAGATGAAAATAAAAAATAAATATCAAAAACTGAGGCACTGACAGGCACTGAGAGTATGCCTTGGAGATGAGGTTCCTCACTCTAGAAAAGAGGGGAGACGGCTAGAGCCATAGTTTGTTGTGGTCCACACAGTCAAAGGCTTTTGCATAGTCAATGAAGCAGAAGTAGATGTTTTTCTGGAACTCTCTGGCTTTCTCCATAATCCAGTGCATGTTATCAATTTGGTCTCTAGTTCCTCTGCCCCTTCAAAATCCAGCTTGTACTTCTGGGAGTACAATTAAGAATAGGGTAATCCTAAATAGAAAATCAGCTGTCAACGAAGTTATGGTTCTCTTTTATTCTTTACACAGTCGTTTGCTGTCACAAGGAGAGAATTCTATGGAAGACTATTCGGTCACATGAGTCCTCAGCTATTTTCTAGAGTGAGGAACCTCATCTCCAAGGCATACTCTCAGTGCCTGTCAGTGCCTCAGTTTTTGATATTTATTTTTTATTTTCATCTGTTTTTTTTTCTGTTGTAAAGTTACAAATACAATTCTAGTTTGGGGGGTCCAGTTTAAGATGCTGTTACTGACCTTAAAGTCCTGAACAGTTTTGGATCCAGATAGTTGAAGAACAGTCTGAATTTTTGTGAACCTGAGCCACTGAGGACATGTTCAGAGATCCACCCGCAAAGGTCCGTTAGACTCTTGGGCAGAGATGTCAGCCCCTTTTTTCGGTTGCTCCTTGTTTGTGGAATTCCCTGTGATATCATAGCTGTGTTCCCCCTGATTTTAAGTAGATCCTGAATTCCTATTTCATTTACTTAAAATACATGTCTGTTTATTTAATTCAGTGCTGACCCCTGTTTGTATGTTTTTAAAATTGTATATTTTATATTGCCTTTTTGGGCTATGACTCTCTATCTTTATCATTATTTACTTATTTTTTTCATTTTATTTGCTTTCCCAGTTGAAAATCAATAAAGATGCACACCAAAATAATAAATGTATTCTTTAATTCATAATATTCCAGATCATTTATACTTTTTAGTTGAGGTAATTTATGATTCAAGCTGGCGGGGGGTGCTTCACCCCAAAATTGGGGGCAGGTGGGGACCAAATCCCTATTGAAGCCAAGGGGAACCTGTAATTTCAATTAAGAATGAGAAATCATATTGTAAATCTAATAACATCTGACAGTGTGTGTACAGACCGGGACAGTGACAGATTTTACTTTTTTGGGCTCCATGATCACTGCAGCAGATGGGGACAGCAGCCATAAAATTAAAACGCCTGCTTCTGGGGAGAAAAGCAATGACAAACCTCGACAGCATCTTAAAAAGCAGAGACATCACCTTGCAAACAAAGATCCGCATAGTCAAAGCTATGGTTTTGCCAGTAGTGATGTATGGATGTGAGAGCTGGACTATAAAGAAGGCTGACTGCCAAAGAATTGATGCTTTTGAATTGTGGTGCTAGAGGAGACTCTTGAGAGCCCCCAGGACTGCAAGGAGAACAAACCTATCCGTTCTAAAGGAAATCAAGCCTGAGTGCTCACTGGAAGGACAGATCCTGAAACTGAGGCTCCA